CATGCAAATTTGTCAAATGCACTGATTGAGGAGTGGAATGCCCTGCCCCAGGAACTCATTACCAACCTCGTGGAGAGTATGGGATCGCGGTGCAGAGCATGTATTGCTGTCCGTGGTGATCACACACCCTATTAGGATCCGTGTAACTTCTTTTGTAGTACCAGGATAAATCGTGAAGACTTATGTGTAATCGACATGGTTGAATAAAAATGTCATAACAATTCGTCTTATTCCGAGTTTCTGTCAGTTGCTTTCTGTACAATATCGTTAAGGTTCTCTCTTGATATGATATGAATTTCATCGAGCTATGTTGTCTGGCAGAGGCACAGTGATCGAAAGTTGCTTTCGTCCCTAAGTTTTGCACACCAGTGTAGTACGCTAGGGAATTCCAATGGGGTTCGCGTTTGGTCGGCGGAAGGAGGGTGGTTGTAATTGCCCTTGGGAAATTCTTTCAATAGCTGATCTTTCTTGTTTCATAAGCGCTACTTAAACTCCTGAGAGTTCATGTAAGAGGAACAGGGATTGTATTTGCCCGTTGTTGGGGGAGGGGAGAGGGGCTCGTACTTGGTCTCAAACGTTATGCAACTAGTATTTTCGATAGTTGAAAACACTAGCTGTTTGGTGGAGCCCCATCGCTTTGTCAAAAATAACTGGAAAGTGCTTTGAAAATGGTAATTAATAGGAGAAAGTCAGTAAGGTTTGTTAGATGGTAGGTAGTATGGACAAGGGGGGGGGGCATCAAAGGAAATTCCTAAGAGGTAGTATTCTGCAAAAACTGTCCCCGGCGGCAGGGCGTGCCCTGATCTCCAGCTCCTTGGTCCAGACGAGGAGAGCAAAAGCACGAATCGCCATTTTGCTCTCTCACTTCTTTTCCTTGACTTCTTGCAGAAGTTACCTGCTCACTTCCGGCAGTAGTTGGTTTCTATTCGCCGTCCTTTTCTTCCGATCGACTTTGCAATGTGGAAGTCACACCAAAGGGATCGTACTTTGCTGCCCGTTTACCGCCCTTTCCCAAAGTTCAAAGTGCTGGCTACGAGGCGAAAAAAAAAGATCAAAAGAGCTTGTACGAGGGATGGGGCAAAATTTGCACCGAAAGGATCTAGCTCCGGGTCATTCCTGACCATTTTGTGGGTTTCTACGATTCCGCCAGTGAGAGAGTGAGTTCCGCGCTTATCTGACCTTGAAAATTTATAAATAACAGTGATCATCGAAGACCAGCGTAACGGATGATCGCCCGAAAAAGCAACGGACGGGTGGACGAGTCGTTCGCCCTGTTTCAAACACCTTCAGCACCTGTCTGCACGACCGGACGGATTGTTTACGTTGGTTGTATAGACGAGCAAAACAACAGGGGACATATCGTTCAATTCCGTCAGTCAACTGGAACGAAAGTAACGGGAGAACTAGCGCCCGAACTGCGGGTAGATGAAGATCGACCTTCCGTTTTGATGGATGACTTTACCCAAACGGATCAAGAACTTGTGACGAAATCTGCCGATTACGCAGCCGCTTTGAAATGACTGGTTTTCTTAAAGTATCAGTTACAACGTGCTCAAAATTCGGCATGATTACATGCCAACTGGTGGTTTCTGGTAATGGCCCAGCAAGTTACGCAACAGCTAGGGAGAGTCGCTTCGCAACAGGGGTCTCATGGTCAGACAGAGTGCGCACGCAGGGTGCAGCATCGTGATGTGTGGAATGGTGCTGCCAGTACGACTTCCCCCACCCCACCCCCCCCCCTGAAAGAGGGTTTTGGTGCGACCTTACCCAACAGCTACCCTACCACTTTCCTACAAATTCCCAGCTTCCTACCAGTTTTTCCCACTTCCCACAATTACCAATTTTTTGCTCAAACGTTTCACACTGACGATGTACCCCCCCCCCCCCTTCCGACCGGGAGGCGGTTGGAAGGGGGGGGGGGTACATCGTCAGTGTGAAACGGGTAGAACCGCGAAAAGTCAATGACCGGGAAACTCTCTCCCAACGCGGCAAAAGCCATACCTCCCCTCCCCCCGCTCTTTCACAACAACGACCGAATACGACCTCCCTCTCCCCAAGTGGCCAAGCGCGACGACTCCCCCCTACGTGTTCATACAACGATGCTGTACCCTGTGGGCACGATGGCTGGGGGTAGCGCATACGTCATTGGTG